ATTCCCAACCTTCTTTGAGGACCCATTTTTGTACGATAAGGTGGAGCAATCGGAACATAAACAGCACAACCAAATATTTTAATGTGTGCTAAGTTTGGCTCTTGTCCAGTAACTAATTGCATTGGAGAATATTCATGATATGCAGTCGGTCTAAGCCGAATTAAATTTGCTGCATGTAAAATAGCATGTCCCCAAGCTGATGAAGGTAAATTACACTTCATTAATAATGGTCTAGCGATTAATTGTAATCGTTTAATCAAAGATTCAACAAGACCATTTTGTGTATGGACATGAGCAACAGGATGCTCCACATCAATCCCAATCGACATACAATAGTCGTTAAATGATTGGGATGTAAATTCTCCTGCATTGTCAAGTCGGATTCTCTTTATAGAATGATCCGGAAAATGAGCTCTTAATCGTATGATTTGAGCAAGGAGTTTAGCAAATGCTAAATTTCTAGTCGATAAAAGACTAACATGTGACCAACGTGTTGAAGCATCAATCAACACCATAAAATATCGAAATGGTCCACATGGTGGGGCTATCGGCCCACAAATATCTCCTTGAATCCTTTCTAAAAATGCAGGTGATTCAGTTGCAATTTTGTTCATTGAAGGCCTGATGATCATTTTGCCAAGAAAACAGGCCTTACAAGGAAAATCACTTGATACTGGAACCCTGATATTCTTTAATGGGTGTCCAAGTGAAGTCTTAATGATTTTATGCATCATTACTTGGCCTGGGTGACCTAAACGGTCATGCCACAACATGAATGTTTTCCGATCATCTAACTTTGTGTTAGAAACCAAATTTATTTCGAAAGGACTAATATATGTGAAATATAGTCCTGAGGAATATGCTGACATTTTTTCACAAAAATATTTAGCGCCAGATTTAGTTGTCGTGAGACAAAGATATTCCCTTTGGTTTTCATTCATGGTTTCTATGTGATAACCATTTTGACGCATATCTTTAAAGCTCAATAAATTTCTCCGCGATTTGCTGGAGTATAAAGCGTCATTTATAATTATTTTTGTCCCATTAGGTAGCATCACATATGCTTTCCCAGAGCCTTCAATGAGCTTCGTAACACCTGATATGGTATTGACTTTAGCCTCAACTAAAGTAATTTGAGAGAAATATATTTTATTTCTCAAAATGGTGTGCGTTGTGGCGCTGTCTATCAGACATAGTTCTTTATCATTTGAGTGATCCATATCTTCAATATATATAAACATAAGTTTGATCACAAATTATGCATATTATTTAACATAAGAGTATATACATTACACATATTTATTTAAAAACAAAATAAAAAGGGGAAGAAAGAAAAAGTACATTGTAGAACATCAGAGTCAACTATTTTATTTAGTAACATTTTGGTTTATGGCAAAAGCATCGTCCATAATGGCATCATCCGCGAAAAAGTCAGACACGTCAAATTTTGGCAGAGGTGGAGTTGTGTCATTGACATAATTAACTTCCATATTTTTACCTTTGTTCAAATTCATGGAAGCTTGAAATAATTTCACCAGATGCTTTGCAGTACGACATTTGTTAGCCCAGTGCCCCGTCATGCCACACTTGTAACAAGTCGTCTTCACCGAGGATTTTATAGGGCGATTTATTTGATGGGCCTTTTGTTTGCCCTTGCCCTTATAATTTGGTCTTTCGATCTGTTTGAATTCTCGGTGTGACTTGTTTTTATGACCATTAAAATGTCCACGTTTAAAATGCCTTCTACTGCCACTGTATGTTGCATTTGATTCAGTGGCTAAATTATGACCAGATGGACCATAAACCGAAGGACTAGAACCAGTGGGTCTCAGATTATGATTTTTCATCAAAAGGTCATTATTTTGCTCAGCGACCAATAATACTGATATTAAATCGGAGTATTTTTTAAAACCTTTTTCTCTATATTGCTGTTGTAGCAGCATATTAGAAATATGCATTGTAGAAAAGGTTTTCTCCAACATATCAGCATCAGTGACTTTTTGTCCACATAACTTTAGTTTAGATGTTATTTGAAACATAGCAGAATTATAGTCACTGATAGATTTAAAGTCCTGGAATCTTAGATTGATCCAGTCATACTGAGCTTTTGGTAAAAGTACCTTTTGTTGGTGGTCATATCTCTCCTGTAAATTGTCCCATAATTCTTTTGGGTTATCAACCAAAAGATATTCAGATTTGAGACTTTCATGGAGATGATGACGGAGAAAAATTATAGCTTTCGCTTTATCCTGGGAGGATGATTGATTATCAGCCTCTATGGCGTCTTCAAGACCATTAGCCTTCAAATGTGCTAAAGCATCAACTTTCCATTCCAGGTATTTTTGACCGGATAGATCAAGAACGTCGAATTCTCGTTTGCTTATGTTTGCCATTGGACTACAAGAAATCATTAATATAAAGTTCATTAATAAGAATGGTTATTTTTCATTTTGTGATGTTACTAATCAATCTTAATAGTTGTTTGTGTATGTACTTATTTCGTATTTATACTTATTTTAACTTCTGGTAATAAAAAAACGTTCAGAAGCTATTTATAGTTGATACGGTAGTTGATAACCAATTTGAATTTCAAATGTGCATACTTATACTTACAGCATTAAAATTTTAAATTGAAATAGCTTTGGATAAAACCAAATACATGGATAATTTGAAACTGAAAGTTGTCAGCTATGTGTCTCAAGTAGTACAGATGATTACAAGTACATCTTTATCAATAGGACAAAAGTAACCGATCAAAAATTAAAAACCAGCCATTCATTTAGAGTCATGTGACTATCCATTGTTTTTAGTTGATCGGCTTATATACACTTTGTTCATGGACATTTCTTCTCGTTTTGTTTAATTCATACTACATATCATCTTTGAATACTTGTTATTATCTTCTTCGTATTCTGCATATTCCTCATATTACCATCTCCCATCTATCTTGCTAAGCTATTAAATCTTTCCTTCTTTTAAATCTCTATTACGGAGTATTGGTATCCCTAAGCCAAGTATTTTGATTGAAGCCAAATTCTCATTACATACAAGTCAGGAGTGTTTATCAGTTATCACTCTACGGGTGTATTCATTTTCTTTGTTTTATGAAGGGTTTATTCAGATGGAGAAATAGTTTAAGGGTACGTATAATTTCTTTTACTATATGAAGCGGAGCTAGGAGTTTATTTTCAAACAAAAACTGAATATGTATTTCATGTTTCAATACTAGAAGAATATATAATGAATATTGATGCTAATACCTGCAGGAGACAAAGATTGTTGAAGATTTTGAGCTGATTCGTGCTGATAACGTGATGTGAAATGAAGAGGATGAAGATCAAATTTAAGAGATAGATATATAGATAAAAGCTCTAAATTATTTCTTCTTAATATATGAATATTTCCTGAATTTCTGTTTACAATGCCTCATCAAGCTCCTATTTATACTGTTTGAACTTGATGATTAGTCACTTAAGGGATGAATCTACAGATTTGGTGGCAATAACAATTTGAGTCATCTGTTCTAACTAGGTTACAAGGATTAAACATAATTTCTGGATTGATGACAAGGATGAACAATTCACACTTGTCATTTCCAGGATTTTACAACAAGTTATTATTTATTGGTGACTATAATTATATTTAAAGTTATATAAAAAGTTTATTTTTTCTTTACCAAATATGAGCGGAATAATTTTCTATTTCATATGTAGTTTATTTAAATACTTAGTATAAGATAATCCGGCTAACAATTGAGCAGTAAAATTTCTCTCATATGTAGTTCTTTCAAGTATGAGATTTGTCGCCTAACAATTGAGCGGAAGAGTTATCTCTCTCATACGTAGTGCTTTTAGGTATAAGAAGATAAACCGACTAACAATTGAGTGACGAAAATTTCTCTCATATGTAATGCTTTTAGATATTAAGAGATAAAGTCGCTAACAATTGAGTGAGAAAACTTTCTTTCTCATATGAAGTTCTTTTAAGTATAAGTTAAGATGGTTAAAAATTGAGCGAAATAATTTTTCTCTATTATGTGGATTTTTTTTCTCTTATATGTAGTGCTTTTATGTATTAGGAGATAAGAAAATAAGCTTTCTAACAATTGAGAGGAAAACTTTCTCTCTCATATATAGTTCTTTCAAGTATAAAAGAATCCAGCTAACAATTGAGCAAAAAAAATTTCTCTTTCATATGTAGTTCTTTTAAGTTTGAAATGAGTCGACTAACAATTCAATGAAAGAATTATCTCTCTCATACGTAGTGTTTACATGTATAAAATAAGACGGCTAACATTTGAGAGGATAATTTTCTCTCTCATATGTGTTTACTAAGAACTTCTATACGGGAAATAGAAGTTTGTGCATATATTTTTACTCATAATCTAATTAAGTATTAAAATAAAAATAACTTTTTAGAAGTTTACATTTTCGAAAAATAAGAGTAGAACTAAAAGTTTTTCTGCTTAATTGTTAGTCGGACTATCTTATACTTAAAAGAACTACATATAACAAAGATAGTTTTCCGCTCAATTGTTAGAAAACTAATTTTCTTATCTCGTTATTATACCTAAAAGCACTACATGTGAAAGAGAAAATTATAAGAGAGAAAATTATCCTCTCAAATGTTAGCCGTCTTATTTTATACATGTAAACACTACGTATGAGAGAGATAATTCTTTCATTGAATTGTTAGTCGACTCATTTCAAACTTAAAAGAACTACATATGAAAGAGAAATTTTTCTTGCTCAATTGTTAGCTGGATTCTTTTATACTTGAAAGAACTATATATGAGAGAGAAAGTTTTCCTCTCAATTGTTAGAACGCTTATTTTCCTATCTCCTAATATATAAAAGCACTACATGTAAGAGAAAAAATTTCTTTACATGTAATGCATATAATTTTCTCTCTCATATAAGAGTATAAGAGTAAAAATATAAGAGTGTTCTTAGTAGATAATAAGAAGTAAACACATTCTTGATTAAGGTTTGTGTAACCCACCACAATTTTGCCCCTAGTGCAGATTTATTGAAGCAAAATACTTTTGGAATCACATTAATTCTTCCATCAATTCTTCACATGTAGTTTGAGTTACACATGAATCATGTATAGAAGTTCATCAATTCCTATAGATCGTTTGTTTTATTTTTCCACAAGCTGGTGGAAAACAAAAAAAGGAACATATTCTAAATTGAAAACCAATCATCTAGGAAAACTCTCTTCATCTCCAGTTACGATCACCTACTTTTCTTGGTTGGTTCAGGAGGAAATGTTCCAAAAACAATGTCCCAGAAAGCGGAAGTGATTCCATATCCTTTGTTCTGGGCCTTGAAGTGATGATCCATGTGGTATCTCTACCATAGACAAACAACTCTCCATTAAAATAATAACCCAAAAGATTGTTTTAGAGTTTAAAAATAATAAGATACTCTTCCAAATTCATACCTTCAGAGAATGGGACACCCCAGTTAATGGTTTTCCATGGTGCAGGTAGTAATGTGTGCAGTCATAGATAACATACCCCAACAACACTCCTCCATGAATGGCAGGAGCGTAAACCAGAGGAGTTAGAAGCTTAATCACATTCCCCACCTAAAGTCATAAAAGAAAACAGAAAGAATCGTAAGAGTTTGAAGCGCTCTTTCAATTTGTTTCTGGAGTTGAAATGGAAGGGAATCAAACTTACAAGTACAACGATAAACACGGCAGCTGCGGGGGGGAAGACTAGCCTCATTCTGTCCATGGGGTGCTTATGATGGCAACCATGAAACAGATAGTGCAATGTGTTTCCCCTGTATTCATATTTATCAAGCTATTAATGCCATTTTCATGCAAAATGCACACCCCACTTCTGTTTCATCATGGTGCACCAATGCAATCAAGTGGTTCACTTCTTCGCAAGGACTGATTTATTTACGAAAAATGTCACCGTGTTTTTATCTAGTTTGTTGTATTATAGAATATCTAATGCCTCTTAGATTTCAAATCCCATACATTAGATCATTCCTAAGAACACTCTTATGTGTCCGTTCGATCATAAAGGTAAGGCTTTGATTTGCTAGGATGAAGGTGTAGGAAATAAAAAAAAAAGTATAAAGATTACAAGAAAAAAACACATACTCCCTCCGGTCACAAAAGATCTCGACACTTTGACTTCATAGTTTTTAAGGAAATAAACACCGTTTGGCATTGATTGGCATTGTTTTGTGTAGATTTATTTGCAAAGTTTTTTTGCTTTAGTTTATCTCTTATAGGCCATCTGGAGCTTTTTAGATGCCCTTGTAACACATGATTCCTTGTTGAGTCATCTCACAATATAAATTACTCTCTCATTTTTTGCACAAGGCTTACCAATATCCCCGGGGTTTCTTGTGGAAGAGAAAACGGTGAAGAGAGTATTCCAGCAATGTCCAGACAGCTAAGCCGACAAGTAGAGTAGCAACCAACTGAGGAGCAGAGAGTCCCCTGTTTACAGAGGTTGAAGCCAGCCACCATACAACTGGTAGCCATATGGTTGGAATTGCCCACCATGGTGTGCGAGTCAACAACTGTGTGTATTATCATCATTAATTCAGTTAGTGTAAACACATTCATATCATCAGCTCAGATTGGTGGGTGGGTTTTCTGTTCAAGATGCAATCTTTTTAAGAAAGCACATCTAGTGATTTCAAGATGAAAATGCCACACTTTGTATTGCAATATCTTAAACAATCTTGCTATTAAGAAAGATATTCCCGAATAAAAACACAACTACGTATAATAACTATGACTTGAGGAAAACCTAAAGATAATAACTATGTGATGGATAGTCTACCCGGGGTATATACCCGAAGGGTTATTGCGGGAAGTAATCTAGAGAGAAGCCAGAGCAAGTAGAAGAAAGTAGAGAGAGAGTATATTCAGTGTGTTCAGCGTGGTTACAAATGGGGAAATGGGGTGCTATTTATAGTAGCAATAAATGCCGGGCAGGGACACGTGTCAAGCGCTCATTGGCCGAGGGGTCACCTCACCTGGTTGGCGCTGGCAGCCGCATGTGGCCGCATTTAATGCGGCTGTTGGATGGGACGTCTGTGCGGGGTACGGTGATCTGTACGCATGTGAGGCGGATATCTTGTCGAGTGAGATACCTTCGGCCATAGAGCAGTAGCCGAGGGCTCTTCCACCCGATGGCACCCTGGTGCCGAGGGCTCACAGTGCCGAGGGCTGATGTTTTCGCCGTTTTCTCCCAGTTTCTTAGTTTGCTTGAGAAACCCGTTCTGTGAGAATTTAGAGCCTTCGGCCAGGGGGGCCGAAGGCACCCCTGGCGCGTAGTGCGAGCTGCTTGGTACTCTGGGCGCTGTGATTTGGGCCTGCTGGGCCTTCTGGGCCTGTTGGGCCTTCGCTGGAGTGGTAGGAGTCTGTGGGTCGGGGGTTCCCGGGCCATATACTCCATCAGGAGTTCCTCACTCCTTTTGCCGAAAGGTACTTGAGGGAAAAGGAGTAATTTGTGCTTGCCCTTTGATGTTGTCCTGTCGCGATCTCTGAAGTTGGTGAGGAGTTGTTGCTTTTATGTCCCTGCCGAAGGCAGTCCCTCAGTTACCCACATGTCGGGACTTGAGAGCTTGCTTTGTTGTTTGTTGGATTTTCACAGATTTTGTAATTTAATGATTTTCCCGAAGGGGTCCTCCAGTCCCCCACTCCTTGAGGCACTTGTAAAGTGGTGAAAAGGAGTAAAGCAGTCACGTTGCTGTTGTGGGCCGAAGGCTGACGCTTTTCGTTTCATTTTGGGGGGATGCCTCGTTAAAAACCTCATTAGGAAAAACCCTTTGGGAAAAAATCCTAATGAGGGAAAAAGAGTGCACCGAATTCCCCCAATGATGAATCGAAAATGTTAAACCTTGGTGAAAAATGGAGAATGACGGGAATACCGAAGGCTCTCTCTTCTGAGGGCTCCTGTGTTGATTTGCCGAAGGCTTGCTGTTGATGTCCTGGTGGTGCCGAAGGGGAGCCCCTCAATCCAGGGATCGAGGGCCTGCCAGATGAGGGCAGCAGTGAAGTTGTTACCGGGGGGTCCACTGTTTGTTGATGAGTTGGTGATGAAGATACCCGAGGGCTCCCATTACCTGTGTGCCATGGGCCCTCCGTCAATGAGGCACTCCCCGGGGGCTACCCGGTTTTGCAGTGCTGAGGGGGAAACCCCGAGGGGTACCCTGATATGCTGCCCTAGGGATCTGAAGGAGTGATCCCGAAGGCGTGTGTAATGTGTTGTGTGGGGCACAACCCGGGGGCACTTCTGGGTGAGTGCACCCGGAGGCAATCCTTGATGAAGTGGAGTGAAGTAGAAAACCCGGGGGCTTCCAGAATATAGCCGTTGGAAATATAGCCGTTGGAATATGTAACGACAGGATATAGCCGTTGGGGGGGCATACATGGCGTGTGATGGCTGGCTGTTCGTGGGCGGCGTCACCGGTTGGGTGAAACGGCGGTGTGTAATGATGGCGGTCCGTCCGGAGGCCCGAATCCAGGCCCAAGCCCGGATTCATCGCCTATAAATACCCCAAGGCCAGGCGTTCCTCCGTGTGCGAAAAACTTGTTAGCGAAGCTCTGCCAATTTTTCTAGAGAGAGAAACAGCAGCCCCCGGTTGAATCCTCTGTTCTTAAGGTCAGTTCCCCGGTTACCCTTCACCTCTTAGCTATCTGTACTGCGCCCTTAGGCTAGGAGATAGAACATTTAGAAAACACTAGTTGTACGAGCCCTCGAACTAGAGTCAGAATGTCGTCCCAGAGTGATTCTCAAGATATCTCGAGGACGCCCTCGATGGAGGACGAAGGCATCTCCGACGTGGAGTCAAGCAGTGGTCAACCCTCGGATGGTGGTGATGCAGCCCTGGCCCGGGAGGTTCAGAAGGAACTCATTGCGGAGGTTGAAGCCGAGGGCTTCGAGCAGGAGTGCGATGATGAAGACTTAGCCCTCGCATGGCAGACAGCGGAGGATGAGGCACAGAATGAGAGCTCGAAGGTCACGATTGCTGTTCTCCCCCCTCGGGGTTCCGGGGGTACCGCTTCATAGGGGAGTCCGATGAAAAGTACCCTCCCTTCAACAAGGCCTTCGGAGGGGCCGGAGGTAGGAGCCGAGGGCTTTAGAATTTTGTACTTAGTTTTTTTTTTGCTTGGATGTTATCGTCCCTTCGTTTAGACCCGTCGGACTAACCCTTTGTCTCCTTTGTGCAGGTATCCCCGTCTCTATGGTGAATGTAAAGGGCCTTGCCCGTTTGAAGAAACAGGACCCGAAGGGGTCGGGACAGGGCATCCAGAAGCCCGCCACTGCCCTCTTTAAGAAAGCCGAGGGCGATGCCGCTGCCGGTAAGAGGAAGGCAGTGACCAAGGGGTCCCTCCCGGCTACCAAGAAGCCGAAGAAGGGGGATGTCGCCGAGAAGGAGCCCCCGGTCATTGTTGCTGATGAGCACCCCGCCTCCGGGGTGCAGGTGGAGAAGCTGCCAGGTGGAACGCCGGCGGGGGCAGAGGAGTAGCTGCCTGAGATCCTCCAGGTCGCGTTCCCGAGGGGTATGTCTTTGGCCAGCGGCGCTGTCGACCCGGGGGCTATCCTGAGGGGTATGACCCCTGAGACGGATAGGGCTGCCCTCGGGGCCTACAATGATGCGGCCCTCGAGGACCACATTCTCCGCTCCTCCCTCTCTGTAAGTGTTTACCTGGTTTTCTCCATCTTCTCCTTTGATTATTTTTGTGTGATTGCCTTTAACTGTTTTTGTTGTTGTTCTGCAGGCTTGCTTAGCCCTCGGCGAACAGGCTCGGAGGCTTCAAGAATGGCGCCTCCGCAAAGCGGAGCAAGACGCCAGAATGAGGGAGTGCCTCCTCAAGAACCAAGAGGCGGTGAAGCTGGGGGCCCAGCTAGAAGAGGAGCTCCGGCAGATGAGCCTGAAATTGGAGGCTGCAGAGAAAGGCAAGGCTGATGCTGAGGCCGCTGCCAGGAGAGCTGCTAAAGAGGCCGAGGACTCCAAAGCGCTAGCCATCGCCAAGGCTCAGGAGGAGGCCGTTGAGGCCTTTGTCGCCGAGGGTTGGAGAGCCGAGGGGCGCAAGATGTGGGTGTCCTCGGTCGTGGAGGCCTGCGTTGAAGAATGGGCCGAGGGCCCTGGGTGGGAATGGATGGCCCGGAAGGGCAGAGAGTACTATGAAGCCGGCGAATTCTTCACCCAGGCCCTCATCTACCGGAGGATGGCCCGGCATTTGGGCATTGAGCAAAAGGACTTCTCCCCCTCGGCGTATGGCCTTCCTCCCTTGCAGCCTGATGTCCGTGAGTCGCTCCCGGAAGGTGTTCAGAGGCCCGACCTTGAGGACACGGTGTTGAAGAATGAGGCCGAGGACGACGCTGTCGAGACCGGAGCGGAGGCATCATCGAGGCCGGCTGCAGAGGGCGCCCCAGGGAATGATGTCGTTGTAGTCGTAGAATGACTTTGTATTTAGAAATCTTTGAACATGTTTTGTAATGAACAACATTGTTCCTTCGGCTTCGGCCCGTTTGTAAATCTCACACTTACTTTGTTTTTGATGAATGCATGATTGCCCTCGGGCTGTGTTTATATGATTTGCTTTCTCCAATTCCTTTCTTCTCGAATGCGTGCCTTCGGTTTTGTTTTGAATGTATGTCTTTGTTCCTTTGAATGTGTGTCTTAGGACTGAGAATACCATCTTATATTAGCTAGCCCTTGGGAGCCTTCGGTAGTTGGGCACCCTCTGCTGGATATGCACCCGAGGGTTCAGCAGCAATTAGGACTTAGAAATTTTTTCTAAGTGTAGCACACCATAGGGCCTTTGGGTGATCGCAGTAACCCAAATCCTAGGACTTAGAAAAAATTTCTAAGTGCAGATTTCCCCTTGAGAGCCTTCGGGATATGGCCTCCCTTCCTGATGCGTGACCGAGGGCCCAATGCACAGGATATAGAGATTTTTTGCAAGTGTAGTATGTCATGTAGCCTTCGGCTACTGTGGAGCCCCACCTGAAATATTGAATAGGCCGGGGGCCAATTCTTTAGGACTTAGAAATTTTTCTGGAGTGTTGATTCCTTGTGTACTGTAGCCCTCGATTGATAGGTAGCCTTCGGCAATTAGGCCCCTTGAGATGAGGGTGAAATATGTAGGACTTAGAAAATCTTCCAAGTGTAGAGTTTCCCTTGGGAGCCTTCGGGAGATGGCATCCCTTCATGATGTATGAGTAGTTGACCGGGGGGAAAATATGTAGGACTTAGAAAATATTCTAAGTGTGGATTTTCCCTTGAGAGCCTTCGGGAGATGGCATCCCTCCTTGATGTATGAGTAGTTGACCGGGGGGGAAACATGTAGGACTTAGAAAATCTTCTAAGTGTGGATTTTCCCTTGGGAGCCTTCGGGTGATGGGTGCCCTCTGATTCCACACCACATCGCAGATGCCCGGGGGCTACTTATTTAGGACAGGATACTCCTTTTTTAAGTGTTGTTGTATTGCATGGCCTTCGGCCACCATATTCCCTTGGCTGTAATATTGATTGGGCCGGGGGCCCAATCTTTAGGTATT